TCTGCTCTGGCTCCTGCATTTTCCTCCTACATTATCTGACTTTTATGTTCTTTTGATCTTGATCATGATCTTGAATGATGGTATCTTGAGGCTCTAAAAGAAACAGATACATCTGACTGCTCTTTTTTTATCTTTATCTGGGAATATCTTTTCTGAAGCTATCCCATCTCATTCTGTATTACTGGCCTATTTTGAGAACCCAGTTTTTAGGGATTAAATCGGGTCTCCTCAAATTTATATGTTGAGGCCCTAACCCCCAGTGTGACTATATTTAGAAACGGGTGCTTTCAAGGACATTATTTTGGTTAAATGACGTCATAGGGGTGGGGCTCTGATCCGATACAATTTGTATTCTTATAAGAAGTGGAGGAGGGATCCCAGGGTGGTGCAGCGGTTTAGCCCCTGCCTTTGACCCAGGGCGTGATCCTGGAGACCTGGGATCGAATCCCACGTCGGGCTCTCAGTGCATGGACCCTGCTTCTCCCTCTGCCTATGTCTCTGCCTCTCTCTCTGTGTGTGTGACTATCATAAATAAATAAGTTAAAAAAAAAAAAAGAAGTGGAAGAGACACTAGAGATTTCTCTCTTTCCATGTGCACAAACCATAGAAAGTCCCTTCAAAGACAGTGAGAAGGTGGCTGTCTGTGAGCCTGGAGGAGATCCCTCATCAAGGAACCAGTTCTGCCAGACCTTGATCTGGAATAGCCTTCGACACTGAGAAAATAAATTTCTGTTGTTTAAGCCACATAGCCTGTGGTGTTTTCTTATGGCAGCCCAAGATAACTAATACACCAATCTTAATTTCATTAACCCTCTTTAATAAAAGCAGGCCCTTGGCACAGTGCTGTTAAGAAATACGGTCTCGGGGATCCCTGGGTGGCGCAGTGGTTTGGCGCCTGCCTTTGGCCCGTGGCGCGATCCTGGAGACCCGGGATCGAATCCCACATCGGGCTCCCGGTGCATGGAGCCTGCTTCTCCTTCTGCCTGTGTCTCTGCCTCTCTCTCTCTCTCTCTGTGACTATCATGAATGAATGAATGAAAGAAAGAAAGAAAGAAAGAAAGAAAGAAAGAAAGAAAGAAAGAAAGAAAGAAAAGAAAGAAAGAAATACGGTCTCCTTTTCCTCACATATGTGATGTTCCAGCCATCTTACTCCAGCGTCCTGGTTGCTGGGGCAGTGCTATTTTAACAATACCAGCCACCCAGAAGCTTCCCATGGACTGACTAAATCTGCTCCTTTTCAAGACCTGAGGGGCACAAAGGGGATCTGCCATTGCTTTTTTAGTTTGTTTTTAACATTTAGCTCAGTAGTATCTGTAAGGTGTTTTATGTCTGTATTGGGACAGGTAACTACCTTTAATTTTTCCCCTGAAGAATAGCCATTTGTCCCAATACGGTCAACTATTGCATCTTTTCCCCACCAATTAAAAATATTACTTTGTCAAAAATTGTATTTTCTTGGCATGAGAGGCCCCATGTATGATGAGGTGTGTCCCCAAACCTGGTAGGGCAGGGAAGAGGAAAGGCAATGTGCAGTAAAGGGAGAGGAAGAGGATTTAGTGGTGTCAGCCACTGGAGGCTACATGAATGTGGCAACAGGTATGGGAGCTCTGGGCTTGGAAGCAGCTGGGCGTGGAAGCAGCCGGGCAATTGCAGGCTACAGTGACTCTTTCAGAGACTGCTGTGGCTTTCATGCTTTTGGTCTTCCTAGAGTACCTCTAAAAATATTACACACAAAGTCAACTTTTTAATTTTCTTAGGCTTCAAAACCCATAATGTGCCCATGATGTGTCCCTGTGCTTCACTGGATTTCTCAACAGTGGCTTTTCAGCATAACTTGTCTGAAATTCTTGAAGTACAGAATTCAAGCCAATGGTAGATTTTATCATGATTTGAATTTGGTCTATTCACTGAGGGGGACACTTGACGGGATGAGCACTGGGTGTTATTCTGTATGTTGGTAAATTGAACACCAATAAAAATTAATTTATAAAAAAAAATGAATTTGGTCTATTGACCCAATAATTTCAGAGAATTCATTTTTGTTCAGAATTGCATAGACTTCTAGAGCCAGCATTATTAAGCTTTAAGGCAAAAGCCCACTTTTGCTTTTTATGGAAGGTTTTGCTTTAAGACATAGATACGATGCACTTTAATCTACCTTTGTCTTAATTTATAGCAGGTTTTGTATGAATTTTAACCTTTTAACAAATTTCCAAAACTGGATTATGCATTTGACAGTAATTAAAATGATTTGCTACATCTTTGGGGAAGGGAATGTATTTTCTCATACACATCTATAAATATCAGCATTTTATATACTGTCCCATACTTTTATTCCTGTTAGTATTTTACTATTTTAATGAGCAAAGCTATGCAGTGAATTTTGATACCTAGTAACACTAGTCATTCTTTTAAGTCCTATTGGGAACTTCCAGATTTCTAAGTTCATTTTTTTCTTTTAAAACTAGAGGCTATATACACACACACACACACACACACACACACACACACAAAGGATAGAACAGGAGAGGAAACAATAGCAAGGAACTTTTTGGAAGGAGGAAAGAATATGGATGCTTGGTAATTGACTTGGTAAGTCCAAGGAAGCCACATCCTGGGCCAGCGTAGAGAAGGCTGACAGCCAAACTGCTACACTGCATGGAAGCCTCACAAGGCACAGAGCTGGCAGCACAGCCACTGGGTGTGGTGTGGAGTGGGCAGGGAAAGATGCCTGAGAACCAGTTAGATCCCTAAATCCTTTCCCTAGTTCTGGTTCTCCGGTTTGGGGGACACCAGACATGATTGATGGTGCAGGTCATGGGGATCAAATGAACATGTGCCTTGTAAATGTTGTATACTGACTTCCTAGCCCTTTGCCACCACTTAGCACCCAAATTTTGGGTAGCTAGTCTTTTAGTCTTCAGGCTGGAAATCGTAAAATTTCTTTGGGAAATCTGAGCAATCTAAGGGGAAGGAATTTTAAAAAGGCTTAAGGGGATGAAGGGGAGGATCCCCAGCAAATAGCTAGAGTTTCAGAGCTTCCAATCAGCCTTTGAGTCTTCTGATTAAAAAAACAAGGATAATCAGTAATCTGATAAAAGCCTCTAACATTGCAGATGGAGCTTAAATGAATGAACCATAAAGAGCAATGTAGAGGAGGTAGAGACCATAAAAGAAAGGAAAACAATAAAACAAACAAACCTGTCTTTAAGCCACAGGGAAATAAAAAATGGACTGCTAAATAAAAAAGAAAAATGGAACAAAATGTTCTCTTAGAAATTAAAGACCTGGACACCTGAGTGGCTCAGTCAGTTAAGAGTCTGCCTTGGGTCATGATCCTGGGGTCCTGGGATCAAGCTCCCTCATCAGGCTCCCTGCTCAGCAGGAAGCTTGCGTCTCCCTCTGCTTCTGCTTGTACACATGCGTGCGTGCACTCTCTCTCTGTGTCAAATAAAATTTTTTTTAGAAAAATTAAAAACCTGAGAGAAAACTGGAAGGGAAAGGATGAGAAGGGATGCCTGGGTGACTCAATTCAGGTCATGATCCCAAAGTCCTGGGATGGAGCTCTGTGTCAGGCTTCTTGCTCATCTGGGAGCCTGCTTCTCCCTCTCCCTCTGTCAACCACTCCTCCTGCTTGTTCTTGTTCTCTCTCTCAAATAAATTCATTCATTCATTCATTCATTCATTCCTTAAAGAAAGAAAAGAAAGGATAAGAAATTGAAGAGGTAAAATACCTCAATAGAAGCAGCTCCAAAAGACATATTAGGGACAGGAAAGGGAGGAAATTCTTAACTAAATTATTTGATAAAATTTTCCCATACTGAAGGACTTAGTTGCAGGATTGTAAGAGCTCACCAAGTGCCCACCTAGCACAGGATTGAAAATAAGCCTCTGTTCAAGGATGTTATCCTTACAGAAAAATATTCAGCCACTGCTAAAAATGTGAAGAGTTATGGATAGTGCTGTTATGAAATTATTATATGTGTTTTTTTGGCATATACATGTGTACATTTGTGGTGGGTATGTACTTAGGAGTAGAATTGCTAATACAATGAGTAGCAAGTAAATAAATAATATAAATAATGTCAAATAGTTTTCCAAAGTGGTTAGAAATATGATTTCCACTTATATTAGTTTATACCCAGTCAAAAGCTGAAAACAACTCAAATGTCCCATCTATAGAAGAACATATAAATATTTCCATTAAATACTGTTCAGCAGTGAATATGAACAAGCTCTTTTATGACATGTAGCAACACAGAAGAATTCACAAGCACTGTTGAACAAAAGTCAGACAAAAAGCAGACATGTATGAAATCACCTATGTAAGTTCACAGACAGGCAGAACTAAGCTGTGATGATTGGAATCAGGATGGTGGCTACCTTTGGAGAGGGTGTTTTGTCTGAAGGGACATGAGGAGATCATCTAGGAGCTGTTAATATTCCATTGCAATATCTGGATGGTGGTTGGTTATGTAGTATGTTCATTCTGAACATTCATTAAGCTGCACCCTTATCATTTATACACTTTTCTGTTTAAATGTTATATTAAGTTTAAAAAAAGTTGTATGTTAATTGATTCGTGGAAAGGTGTTTTGAGTTAATTGAAATTAGGACAAAACTATGACAATAGCATAATAAAAATTTTTTGTATGGGTATATATGGAGGCTTGTGGAAAGGACATAGTACTGCAAGTAGTTGATATTTCAATTTGTTATTTTCCGATGTAAATTAGCACCTTATAGAGAGGGGAAGAAAACCCCGTGTGTTTAATACCAGTTGTATTGCTCTACCAAAAACAAGACTGTCCTGTCTTAGACTGTGCCCTCTAAATTGGGATAGGTAAGATGATTGCCTAAAGTTGGTAGTTTTTTGGTTTGTTTGGAGATTTATCCTAAGGTAAATAGTATCATGATTGTCCCCCTTTACTTTTAAATGTGACATTTATAAAGATGTGAATATGTTCCTATTTCTTGATCTATTTTTCCTTGTTTCCTAGGTTTTTGTGGAGACCTTGGATAAGTGTTTTGAAAATGTTTGTGAATTGGATTTGATCTTCCATATGGATAAGGTACCTTCTCTCTCTAACCAGGGTTATTAGAAAGTTAAAAGCCTAGGATGCCTGGATGGCTCAGTGGTTGAGCGTCTGCCTTTGGCTCAGGTCATGATCCCACGGTTCTGGGATCGAGTACCACATCAGGCTCCCCTTAAGGAGCCTGCTTTTCCCTCTGCCTATGTCTCTGCCTCTCTCTCTGTGTCTCTCATGAACAAATAACTTAAATCTAAAAAAAAAAAAAAAAAAAAGAAAGAAAGAAAAGAAAACTAAAAGCCTAGTATATCTCTATCTACCTCTACACCTTTATGTTCTTTCTTGTGGCTTTTTACTCTAGGTATAGTCCCAGATGTGTTTCATTTAAGAATTTATAAATAGTTTTGGGAGTGTTTTGCCAAGATCAGTTACCAGTTTTAACACACACATGAGATTATTGGGCCTATGTCACAGTTCATTTTTTTACAGACAGACTTTTTGGTAGAAGGCAGTAATGTCACTGTAATGACTGGCTGCCACAACAAAGGTGAGAGTAATTGTTTCATGTTGATAGTAAAATGAGTTTCCTTGGCATAACCAGTGACAGTGAAACTTCGGAAGAATCATGACACACGGTCTTTCATTTTGCCAGTAAAGTTTATAACTTTCCCAAAGAGTAATATAGAGTGACTCAGACATTTATAACGTAGTTTGAGGTTGGTGATATTCTGTAGGGAAGCAGACTATCAGGCAGAATTGAAGTGGTGCAAAGTACATGTTCTCAGATCTGCTGCTGACATAACTTTGACATGACTTGTGTCCTCACATGTCAAGTTAAAGTTGGGAGATAGCCAGCAAGGGGCTAGGAACTGCCATGTGTATTTTATGGAGCTGAGCTTATGGTGTATCCTGTGCTGTTCACCTTAGATGTGCTTGGTCCTGGTTTTCTTCAGCTGATTGTCATCACAATGCTCTGTGGCCCGTGGAGAGAGTGAATGATTTTTTTAAGAGACAATGGCTTCTTGCTGAGCCATAATCCTTCATTACTCTTTTCATCCCAACGAGGTAGTTGTTCATAAATCTGCCACTGCTAGCATTGCCATCTAGAGGACTTTCTTGTCATTTTGAGTCTCCAACAGCTCTCCTGTTTCTCAGATGACACTCTGGCGAATGCAGGGAGTATATTCTTATGGTTGGATGTTGAAAGGAATGAAGTTTTCTCTCTCAACACCTAGCTTAGCTCTGAGGGTCTGTGAACAACCTGGTACAAGAGAATCACAGAAGCTCATTTTTACTGGAGATCCTTGCCTTGGGACTCCTTGACAGACTCAAGGCATCCAGAGCTCACTGGTGCTTTTGAGGTAGTCCCTCTCCCTTTTCAAAGGAAAGAATCTTAGAAACTTCAGAGACCTTTTTGGCCCTCTTTGCAAGCATTTAGAGTTGCTTTAAGCTTGTTAGTTGTTCAAGGCGCTATATTATAATTTCTTTTAAGGAAAGTCATAGTTCAAACCCAGAGTCCATCTCTGCTAGTGGGCGTGGCTTTAAAAGGAAATAAAAAGCCATCAAATTTTTTTTCTTTCTTCTGTGTCTTATCTTCAAATAAGTTCCATAAAGTAGTTTGCTGCTGCTGCTGCAGATTCCTTTTATAGTTTATAAAACTGTCTATTTTTAGTTCCTGACGTCAGGAAATTATCCTCCATATTTCCTGAGATTTTTGGAAAGTGATGGCACAAGGAGCCAGGGCCTCACCCTGCTCACCTTTATAGTCTCTGAAGGTGTCTTCCAGCAGGTGATGTGCCCTCACGTAGAGTGGTTGCTAATTCAGGTGTATCTTCTACTGATAGGTAGGTAAAGGACCTGTCAGAGGACAATAGGAATGTCCTCTTGAAGAAACCTCTCTATCCTAAGTCTCTTTACCTCCTCACTCTTCCTTTCTTCCTGGCTTAGAGGAAAGTGTTTCTTTCATTCCACGTGTAGAACCAGATCCTTTTCCTGTCTCTCCCTGGCATACACCACAATGTCTGTACCTGTTCCTTCTGCTGTGGCTGCACTCCATTACAGAACCCAGCTCCCTGTCCTGCTGCTGCTACTCTTTTAACTGGTGTCTTATCTCCACCCTTGCATTTAAGGTGAATGTTTTGAATGCGTGAGTGATTTGCACTCAGTCTTGCATTTCTGCCTCATCTCTTCCCTTTCCAGAGCCCTGTTACCTGGTTTTCACTCTGACCCAAAAGGCACTGATGATTTCCTAATCCTATTTGCCAGTATCACCTGGAAGATTTCTGTAGCACTCAATGTTACTGATCCTTCTGTGGAGCACTGCCTTCTTAGTCCTTTCTCCACTTTTTGCTTCTGTTACATAGAAGCCTCCTGGCTGTTCTCTTATTCTCTTTCCACCTCTCTCACTAACTTATGTTGTCAGTCATCTCTTACCTCGTTCTTGCTGTCCTGTTTTTAGCCTAGATCTTATCCTTTTCTTTGACTTAAATTATTATCTGCCTGGGTAAGTCCCAAACTTATAATTTCTAGTCCAGTATGGCCTGAGTTCCATCTTTGAATTTCCCACTGCCGGATGGCATTTCTTCCTCCTTTCATTCCAGCATTTTATTTCTCCCTGCTACTTTTTAGACAAAGCCAGACTCAGCATGTGTCTCCTAAAAACCATTTCCTCCTCCAGCCTTCCTTTTCCAATGGTGCTGCTATCATACTCTGGCAAATGTACTCAAAACCTCAAAACCTTGCCCCTCTCTCTTTACCACCAATAGCCAATCATTTGCTAAAATCTGTTGCTTCTCTCCATAGACTCCTTATATCCATTCTTACATTCACCAGTTATTAACATTTGGCATACTTGCTTTTATATCTCTCTACATACATATATGCTTTTCTTCTCTACCCATCTGAGTTAGTGGCGGACATCATGACCTCTCATCCCTAAATACTTCAGCAGACATCTGAGAGAAAGGACATTGTCTTATATAATATATTGTACATAATTCTATAATTAATGTAATAAATTAACCATAACATGCTTAACATATTTAACATACTTAACATAACTAATAAATGTTGTTAATATATAGCTTATATTTAAATTTCCTCTTACCCCAGTAATGTCCATTATATTTTTGTTACTGATTCCGACTCTGGGTCAAGCACTATCTTTAGTTATGGTTTCAGTTGTGTCTGTCAGGCTTTCAAACCTTATTTCCGTTATCTTCTTGTTGACCCTACATGTCATAATTATATTTTTTTCCCTAAAGCACCTGTTGGACTATCTGCTCCCTTGAACACAGACCAGTTTTGGTCCCTGTTATCAAGCTTTGATCTGCTGGCCAGACATTCAAGGGTGTCGATAATTGTCCCTATTTTATCTTAGCCTTGCTTACCATTACTTCTTGCCAGATACCTCTTGCTGCAGCCAGACTGGACTAGTCTTAGTCATGTTGTAATTCCTGCTTAGAATCTCTGCCTGAATTGCTTTTTTACATCTTTTTATAACTGAATCCAGCCCGTCTTTCAGGCTCAGCTCAAATCCTACCCCCTAAAGCTTGTCTTCCTTACACTAGCCTGTCATGATCTCTGTGGACCATTTATAGTGCTATTTCTGGCTATGTGTACCTTAGTCTATATAAGTTGGTATGTTTTCCCTACTTGATTAGACCGTGGATTGCCCTGTCGTCCTTACTAAATCCAGCATGGTACCTGAGTGGGGTAGGGTAGTCGTCACATGAGTGTCCCAAAGATTCCCAGGTAACTAGACTCAAAAGGTTGTTCATGATTTAAACTGCTGCAGGCTGGATGAAGTCTGATTTCACAGTCTTTGGGATAGTCTTCAATACAGACTGTGCCATTTGGAGCTTATCTTGCCTGGGATAGTTAGTTCCCTTTTGCTTTCAGAAATCCCCAAACACAGCTCAATGTCATGACTAAGTTGGGTGTTGATGTTAATTATGGTGAATTGAGTTTTGTTCAAAGAAAACTATGTGGGTAGCCTAACATTTTGATCTACTAGTGCTTCATCAGCAAAGCTGGATTTGGCACTCGTTGGGCTTTCAAGATTTGGTCATCAGAATTATAATTCAGTGGTGGTGCCAAGGGAATTTATCTAGCCTTTTTCTAGTCTTGAGTTTGCAATGGGCTGTCTCAGGAGACTTGGAACATATGCTTTTGGGTGAGTCTGAAGCCAAGAAACCTCAGTATGGAATTTAAAAATCTCTGCTAAGTATAGGCTGCTGAAATGGAAAAATGCTGATTGCTCAAGATTAGAAAGAACTGGTGAGCCCAAGATGAAAGGATCATAAACGTAATAAAGGAGGGTGCTCATTTCATATCCCTTCTGGGAACACAGCTTGTGATAACAGAGCCCATTAAGGTGTTCCACACCTTAATGACAGTCAGGTCCTCCACATCCTAGTGACATAAAGCAGGTATTCTGATTGCTAGTCTCCAAGAATGGAAGAAAAAGTGAGGGACACATATTTTGTGTGTTTTTAGTGATGAAGGAGTTGCTGTTTTGGCATAGAAGAATAAGACATTCTGTTTGAGTTTTAGTGCTTGAGAAGGTGGTAGTTGGCCTGCTAAGCATCCTTGGCTACTTATTTCTTTCTGAAAATGCCTAAGAGAGAGGAGGGGAGCGTAGGCCAGCCTTTTGTCCCATCGCAGCCTGAGCCCTTCTCTACTGATGCTTGATAGATAAGAATTCTGTAACAGAATATTTTCAGAGGCCAATATCTTATCTTTTCAGAACAACTGACAGAGACTAGCAATGATGATTTCTTAAATTTCCTACGTCACTATACTTTGTTTAGAAAGAAAGAAAAGCTAAGACTGCTCCAAACCACTCTTATTGTCTGCTACACTACACATTTTACTTTCCTTACTTGAACTTTGCACTGCCTCATTGTCTGCCAATTGAAATTGCACAGAGCCTATTTACTTTGTTTAATCATTCCTTATTAATGGTTAAGGGCATTAGGATGACAGTGTACACAACACAGTAAAATCTGACCTTTAGAGGCCTCCGTTTGTTATCCTTCCTT